CCAGCGACTTAAGACTGGATTTGTGGTCCAGGGTCACATATACAAAAACAAAGTACAAAATCCATTTTTTTTACATAAAGGTAAAAATATGAAACATTAAAATGTCAGCTTGTTGTGCATAGCTTGAGCAGCTGGTACATTCATGGCATTTAGCACATTATTTGATCATATATTAATGAGAAGGAAAAACCCATATGAGTGCTAAAAACATCTGGCCCCCCTACAGTGTGAAAGATGTGGTATTGACCGCTGGGGTTTGTGTTGTACCTCAGGCATCTCTGTCAGGAAGGATATATCCATCTTCTCACACTGGGTGGTAAGATTCTGGAACAGCTGTTTGCTGGGGCGCTTTGGGTACAATACAGAAGGCTCATATCCCTGGGAGATCCACATACAATACGAATAAATCAATACATCTTCATAAAATATTAAGTTTAATGAAGGAATGATTTATTGTCAGTATAACATGAACTCACAAACAGTTTGAGATGTCTAGCACAAACCAACCCATCTCCTCCATTATTTCCTGGCCCACAGATCACCAGAACTCTAGGTGGACTCTTGAGCAGTGATAGTAGAGGATAGCCCTATGAAGCGAAAACTGCTTTTAATGTGTATAATGAATGCATTTGATCCTTTCTGCATGTTGGTGGAGCATCAGATGTACCTTTGACACAGCTGTGGCACAGCTCAGACCGGCCAGCTCCATTAACTGATCCACACTGAAGCTGTACTCATCGAACAGCTCCTCGTCAATGTGCTGAGCCTCTTCTTGCCTACAAAAGAAAGATTACATAAAAACAATCATGTTTATGCTCAGGCAACAATACTGATAATCCTAATACTAATAAATGCAGTGCATTTACACTCACCCCAAGTACTTGATTGTATTGGCCATAGTGCAAGCCTGTCTGTGAGTGAGATCTTTACCGTAGATGTTACTGGCAATACGTGCACATGCTCCTGTATGGGTCAGGACAGAGCCTCCTCGTGATGTCACAAGAAGACCGATTCCAAACAGGGCTCGAACTCCCAACATTCACCTGGCTAAAGCACCTGAACGCAGAAATACAATAAAAAGGTTGTCAAAAAATGATGGTGCATGTTGTTGATTTCTGCCTACATAGAGAGAGACAGAGAGAGAAAAAAGAGAAAAATCTTGTTTCATTCTTGGAAAGACAGTAAGACAGTAATAATTCTGAGCAGAGAAACCTAATAATCTGCTGCCCATATATTCTAAACTTGGTCACTCATTTTCTGGTAAGGAGGTTGTTGACAGACATATCCAAAAAGTTACTGAATAGATATGCAATACATTTTTAGTGTGTGACGAGGGATTAAACATTTAAAATAATATAGTCATTATATTAATTACG